TCGGCGTGTGTCATTCCCAGAAGCATGCGGATCTTCTCAAAGAGTTCCTCGTGAAGAAGGTTTGGCAAAGCTACCAGAACTCCGATTCGGACGACTACCAAGTCGCACTGTGCTTCGCTTAGTAAGTCAGTTTCCTGCGAGTCACGCCGACCCTCACACGACATACGACTCTGCCTTGCCGAGTCGATGTAACGATACTGAGGTCGACCCTCCTTGATGAACTCGAGCCTGACGAGTGCGAGGACGAGGCTGAGGAGGGGCAAGACAACCAGGGAGGAGGAGACGACACGAAGAAGAAGCCCAAGAAAACTCCGAAGCCAAAGAAATCTGCCGGGGGGAAAGGCAAGAAGCACGGCAAGGATGACACCGAGGATCAGAAAAATGAGCCACCGAAGAAAAAGCAGGCTACCACCCAGAGCATCATGGAGAAGCTTGCTGCTCTCACCAGCGGCGGCCAAGACACCGAGACGGGGAAGGACGGCGACAAAAAGTGAGCACCTTCCCTGGGTCTTCTCCGGCCCTAGAGCAAGCTGAGGCCCGCTGCCAAGTATCCTTCCCATCCTCCGCATAGGCGTTCAAAAAAGGTTTGTTCACCGGCAAAGGATGGCTCGGGCCAGCTTGTGCGGGCAGACAGCACTCATCGAGTGCTAACTTTTGATTGTGCAAGTGCCTTTTGGGCGCCCTGTTCGAACCTCTCATGGATGGATGCTCGCGCATGTGCGTTGAAATGCAGAATCTCTCAGGCTTTATTTTGTTGCAGTGCGTTGCGAGGCTTTCAGTCAAGTGCTGCCTGCTTGGAGATGTGCTGCTTCCTGCAACCGTTCATGCACGTGTCAGTGTGCTTTACAACTCAAGCGTCCCGAATCTCCGTGGCCGCGTTTGCACCATGGCTCCCAAGGCCAAGACTGCCCTTGCACGCATCAAGACAAAGTTCTCTAAGAAGCCGGCTTGCAGTGCCAGCCAGCAGAACTCAAGCTGGACCCTGGGATGCGTCAAGCTCATCATGGCTTGGATCCACCAATTGTTGAGAACTAGTACGCCAGCAGGTTGTTCACTGCCTCATGGTGGTAAACTGATTGTGGGCAGTGCATGCACGGGGCTGGGTTCCGAACTTCTGGCTCTGGATATGCTGGGCATTGCCTACACAGAATGCTTTGGGTGCGAGGTCAACAAGAAGCTCCAAGCACTGGGCATGAAAATGCACAATTACCACCATTTCTATGATGATTGCTGCACGGCGAATTTCCTTTCTTCGCCGACATGTCACGTGTTCGTGTGCGGTGCGCCTTGTCAGCCGTACAGCAAGGCTGGTCTCCAGAAAGCGCTTCATGATCCGAAGAATGGGGAAGTCCTCCTGTGGGTGCTGGCATGGATCTGTGGGCATCAACCTGAGGCCTTCATTCTGGAGAACGTGGAAGGGCTCTGCACAACCCACAGAGAGACTCTCAATATAATCCTGGGTGTACTTGCGCGGATGCAGGACTCCAAGGGGAAGAAGCTATACCACGTGGAACACCGAGTACTGAATTTGTGTGTTCATGGACACATTCCTCAGAATCGTTCTCGGCTCTTCGTGGTAGGCCTTCGCTTGGACCGCCTCCAGGGTCGCGAGTTTTCATGGCCCTGCGAGGCCGCATGCCACATCAAACTCATTCTGATTGGGT